CATCCCCATCTTACATCCTCATCCCCATCCTACATCCTCGTTCCCATCCTACATCTTCATCCCCATCCTACATCTCATCACCATCCTACATCTCGCCCCCATCCCCATCCTACATCTCATCCCCATCCTACATCTCATCCCCATCCTACATCTCATCTCCATCCTACACTACCATCCCTACCTTACATCCCCATCCCCTGATGCAACCTTCGTCCTGGCTTTGTTTGTGGAAGGGGAGGTCCAGCCCCTCCAAACTTTGTTTCTGGGGGGGTGATACTGCAGTGCTTCCCCCCTACACGTGTGTCCCCAGGTCTGGAGGACGAAGGCTGGTTTGACCCGTGGACCCTCCTCAATGCTTTCCGGTGCAAAGCCATATCCCTGGGAGTCCACAGCTGCTCCGGGGAGGTGCGAGGTGAGGGATGGGGGGGCACAGCGGGGTGTGTCCCCTGTGCCACCCCCAGTTCCCCTCACCTCACCCCCAAACCCTCCAGCTTTTGTCACCTCATCCAATGACACGCTGCCATCAGCGCCCAAGTCCGCGCGCATCAAATACGCCCACGTGAGTGTGTGTGTGCCCCTACCCCCAGCTCGGGGGGTCCCCAGGAGTGTCTGTGACCCCCCCATGTCCGTGACATCCTCCTGTTCGTGCCCCCCCAGATCTACATGCCAGACAGCCTGGAATACCAGCCAGTGTCCTGTGCCATCGTGGTCAATGCCGCGGGCGCCTGGGCCGGGAAGCTGCTCGAGGCAGACGGGCTGCCCAGAGACCTGTGCCAGACCCCCCTGCCCATCCAGCCCAGGAAGAGGTATCTGGGGGGCTCACGGCAAGGGGACACATCCTGACATCACCCCTCTGCTGTGGATCAAGCCCTGGGGTCAGAGTGAGGACACATCCCAGCACCTCTCCATTTTCCAGGAGGGTGATATTCCCCATGGTGCTGTTTTGGAGTGATCATACATGGGGGACACCCCAGCACCCACTACCCCTCTGTCATGGGGAACCCTCTTGATGCTTTATTTGTGTTGGGGGGAGTCACCCCTTGGGTGCTTTGTTTTTGGGGGGGCTGCATCATGGCACCCTCACCCCACTGCAGGGCTGACGCGAACCCCTCAGTGCTGTTTTGGGGGGTTCATAGATGGGTGGTGCAGCACAGCACCCACCACCCCTCTGTCATGGGGAACCCTCTTGATGCTTTATTTGAGGGGGGGGCTGACATCTTGGCACCCCTACCCC